TCCATAAATGTGCGTTTTCCATTTCTAAGGTACACATGATTATTCAAACTACCTGTTCCCACTGAGGATAGAAAAGAGGTTCTCAAAGTTTGAAGAGACCCAAGAAAGTTTATTCAGGCTGGTTCACTAAATATTCTTAAATTAGGCTTCATAGGAAAGGTTCCATTTTTTTTAAAGATTTTATTTATTTATTTATTCATGAGAGACACACAGAGAGAGAGAGAGAGGCAGAGACACAGGCAGAAGGAGAAGCAGGCTCCATGCAGGGAGCCCGACATGGGACTCGATCCCAGGTTTCCAGGATCACGCCCTGGGCCGAAGGTGGTGCCAAACCACAGCCACCCAGGCTGCCCCATAGGAAAGGTTCTAACAGCAAGATCTGAGGAGGTGGAGTATCACATGAATCAGATAAAACCATTTTTAAAAATAAGTCAGCATTGATAACACAAGATGACTGTAAATAAACTGCATTAACAGTACTGTGTTCTGAAAAACTGAGGTACATATCTCTTTCTGATCTGTTCTGATTGTGAAAAAAATTGGAAAGTATGTCCCATTCTGGAAAACATCACTTTAAGAAAGACTCAGGCAAGCTGGGGCATATCCAGGGGAGAATGTAAATAGTGGAAAAAGTCTGGAGACATGAAGTATAAAAATCATCTAAGAAAAGCAGATGTAAGCACAGCGGATCCATGGCAGTCTTCCAGTATTGAGCCAGTGCCACTGGGGTGAGGCAGTAATCCCTTGGTGGCTTTAGTTTGCCATTCCTCTAGTCCTTCTCCCATTCTAATGCCCAGGTGAGTTCTCAAGACACAAATCTCAGTATGTCACTGTCTGTGGTTAACTCCTATGAGTAAACATGTAGCCAGTCTCCAGGACAATCAAAAGAGTTTAAGCATTTCAAGACCCAAAAAAATCCTTGCCCCAGTCAGTTGGCATTCCAATTAGCTGGGTGTCCTTATGGGGAGTTAAGGGTCACCACCATCAATTATGATGACCTTTGTGACAGTAGCTCACAGCCCAAATTAAAGATCCTGAAACATGCCTTGTTAGCTTTCTCACCTCTGTGCCTCTGTTTACGATGTTTCCTCTTCCTGGAAGGTAGCAGTGTCACTAACTTTCCATTTTCCTACAGGACCTAACTGAAGTTTCACAACATCTAAGAGTTTTCCCTGAACATCACCTTCCATTTTTATCCAGATGAGTTCTCTATTAAAATACCACCTGGCAATAAACCTTTTATAGAAAGTATTGAATTGGTTTGCAGGCACTGATTTACTTGATAATGGGACATATGAGCCTAAACTGAGACACATCTGTACATGAGAAGGCATTTATTTGCACAAGATAATTGCAAAAATGGAAATGGACTGTGAGGTGGAGGTTTTGAGGCTCTAAGCCTGATGGCCAATATGAAAGTAAGGTGGGGAAACCAAGAGATCAACTTAATGGCTGGCCCTCAATTCAAGTTCTGGTTCCTAAGCCTGTTCCCATAGACTTAGTTCAAGTCCTATGGAAAAAGAAGGGCTACAGATAAAAGCTTTAGGAATTGAAAGATTTGGAAAAAAATGGAGTGTATGCAAGGCAGTTTAGGGGCCAAACAACAAACTATAACACATGGTAGGGAAAGTGAGCCCTCTTCCCACTTATGCACTCATTAGCCAGCCTTGCTCAGATTTGAAAAGGCCACCAGTGCCTTTGAGACAGTGCAATGAATTCTGGAGTGTGTGAGGAGGCCCATGCCCAGCAGATGCTGCTCTGTTATATCTAGGGGGAGAGGTTTTAGGAGTGGACACTTGGGAAAATGATGAGTCAGCAACAAAATTATTTTGTTTTTGTTTGTTTAAATCCTGGAGACTCCCAGAACTACTTTAAGAGTGACCTTTGCAAAGGGCTGGAGGGTCTTACACTTCAAAGCAGAAATGACCAAGCAGCCAAATATAAATTATCACTCTTAATGTGACTTTACTTATAGCCATGGTTTGGAGGCCTGGTGAAATCTAGTTATGGCTATAGTATATTCTTAACCTACTCTCCTACCTCTGTTCCTTGGCCTTGAGATCCTTGAAGGCAGACTGCTGGTTTTTAAAAAAATCTCTGTAGCCCCATTACCTATATAGTTCCCAGCACAGAGTAGGTATTCAACAAATGGCTATTGAATAAAGGAATAAAATTAATGAAAGAACTATCTTTAATGGACAAATTCAGGACAAATAGGTGGAAGTTAAAGGAATGTAAAAGTCTCTTCTAACAATTAGAAAATGCTATCAGTAGAAAAAAGCCCATGGTAACACAGTGAGAATTTTATCACTGGAGGAGTTGTCAAGGGTGCCCCAGAGGAGGTACATCCCTCATGGAGAGAAATGGATCAAATCATGTCTTACTGTCAAACTGCTTAGTATTAATTACATGAAGACCAAGAGGAGTGTGGCCATGACAAAGGAGTTAGCCCTATAGGGTAACATGCAAAAATGATGAGTCAGCAACATAACTGTTTTTTGTTTGTTTTTTTTTAATCTTGAAGGACTGTCTATAAAAATTAGGAAGCCTTAAGCCAGAATTCACCAGAATTAAACTGTACCCTGAAACACTGTTGCATGAAGCCGTAGACAATATCTTCAAAAGCTATCCTATTATAACTCTGAATGATGTCCAGAGGACTAAGGTATCTAATGGACATTATCTACAGTGAAGATGTTAAGTGATGAAAGGTTAAAGGAAAGATTTACAACGTGCTGAGTGTACGCTGTGATTTGTAGACTCCTAGCCTGTTTCAATGTCTCTTCCACAGCCTCTGGCGAAGTAAATGCTTAGGCCACTTGTCTTTATTCCTTCAAATTCCAATAAATGACTGAAGGAACCCACATCTACAAGAGGGAAATTACTAGACAATTCAGGAAAGGTCTTCTGAGATAAATGAACATTCTACATTAATTTAAAGGCCACAAATAGAATGATGGAGAGTACTATTTCATAATGTCAAAGTTCAAAGGCACTTTTCAAATGTCTCTTAAAGAAAATCGGGACCTTTCTTTCTTTCCTTCTTTCTTTATTATCAGAAAGTTTGCCAAGGGCACACTGGGCCTTGGGTCATTCTGTTTTGACATGGAAGTTCTTTCATCATTAAAAATAATCAAAAGATCAGAAATATATAACCCTGTAGTAACCAGGAGGATACATTCCGTAGCATAAAAAAGAACAATATTGAAGCATTAGAATTTCAAAGGTTGCATTTCATAACTCCATAAAACTTGCCCCCTTCATACATGAGGGAGGGCTTATGTGAGGGCGGTGACTAGCTCAAGGACTAAGTATGAATACATGTTTTTTTCTAGTGCATTTCACGTTATTTTACATGAAAACTTTGGGAAACCTGCTCAGTACACCACTAGTAACTCTCTATGTCTAAATATATTACTTTTAGGTATAGATTCACTTACATTAGATATAGATGTGGACATAAATATATTTGTATGAAAATGAAAACCTCCTATGAAAGGCCTCTTTTCCCCCTATCTTAAGGTATAATTTACCCTTTTTAGTGTATGGTTCTGCAAATTTTGATAAATGTAGTCATACAACCACCACCACAGCAAGATAATAGAACGATTCCATCACATCCCCAAATTCCCCTGGGCCCCTTCATCGTATATCCCTCTCTTCATCTCTGGCTCCTGGAAACTACTGATCTGCTTTCTGTTCCTATAATTTTGCCTTTTCAAGAAAGCCCTATAATGTAGCAAAGGCCTCTTTTAAATTTCATGCACTGGATAAAAATTAAAGCAACTAAATGAAGTGTCGATTTTAATGTGCTGATTTCTATTTCCTGAACTTAAGGCAATGATGGATATATAAAATCAAATTACCCTTGAATATTACATCTTGAAGCAGGTAGTACCCAGGGAGCCCTTTGAATATATAGATCTTTAGGACTTCAGTTTCAACATATTGAATCAAAATCTCTCAGTTCAGGTTCTGGGAATTGTTTTTATCAAGTTCTCCAAGTTTGATTCTGATTGATAGGGCCAGATTTGGGGAATATTAACCCAAGAGGCATTCACTGTATGAGATTAACTGCCAGGATGTAAATTATGTGTGGCAATGGGATCAAAGTTCAGAGGTTGGGAGAGTTCTATCTAGGTGACCCTGTCCTTGGATGTGGCTACCACTTACTGCCTGCAGGACTTGTAACAAGTCACTTAAACTCACTAAACCTTGTTTTTTTCTGATATGCAGGGGGTAACGATGCTGACTTCATAGGATTAAATGTATATAAAGCCTTTAGATAGAACCTGGCACACTTAGCATTCAACTATTGGAAGCTGCTTATCTTGCTGCATTGGTATCAGTATTAACATCATTATCATCATCATGCCGCCATAAGTATTTTATTGTCTTTCCCATATTTTTGCATTTTGGTCAGTTTCACTATTTTTTAGCCCTTCCTCTAGAAGTGACCAAAGTAAACAGTAAACAGAGTCTATTTTTGTAGCAGCCCAACCAGCATTCAAAGAACTGCAAAGGTAACAGAAATTCACTGATTGTCCCCAACTCTCACCTTTACTTCAAAGACATCAACGGAACAAAAAATGAGTTACTGGAAACTCACTCTTTCCCAAGGGTATATATTATTGGACAAATATGAGCAAGCAAAAGGGAGGAAGAGAAGCAAAGGGCCAGAATAAAGCCGAAAATTAGGCTGTCTGTGTAGTTGGGGGAATATCTCAAAATTTACTTTATTCACTTGTAGTTTTATCCTGCAATGTAGACACATGTATTTTTAATCTATAGTTTCTTGAAAATATTTACTATTGAAATATAGTTGACATACAAAGGCAGCAGTTTTTCTTTAAGCCATGAAATACAGAAGAGTGATGATATTTGGCTGCACTTGCTGATCTAAAGAAAGAACTCCTATCCTCAAAGAATTACACGATGCTGCCAACACCACAGACTGAAGACAAGAAGCAAAAGACAAACCTGAAACTTACAAGCCCTACCTGTTCTCAGCATCAGCGCTGCACTTTGGGGACATCAATTCAAAGGATTTGGTAAACTTCACCACCTGCCACACAGAAAGACATAAATTCAAGTCAATTAGAGCTTTCTTGTAGGTTAAAATAATGCAATTAACACTTTCATCTTTACAATGATTATTATAATAATTGGAGATTAAAGAGCAATTTTAAGTGGAGAAATCTCAAGGGACAGAGGAAGAAAATTCTACCCCACATTTTTTTTATGTTGATAGATATCTACTAGACATCCATGGTGTACAAGGTGCCATGTTAGGCATGGTGAAATAAAAGAAATAAAAGAAATCAGGGAGCCAAAAAAATCATTAAACAGCACCTAGTCCAACAATGCATTTGGTGGGCTCAGAAATGGAGACAGAGAAATCAACTCACTACACCCTTCCGTTGTAAGAAGCAGAAGCCATTTGAGCCAGCCTAAGTAAAGTGAGACTGATTTTAAGGAACAAAAGTTTCTTGCAGAACTCATGGGAAGGAAATGAGCCAAGAGGGGGCTATGACTTACATCTCTTCTCTCATTCTTGCCTCCCACCTCTCTGTCTCCCTCTCTCCCTCCTTCTCTTCCTCCCTGCTTCTTGTATCACTTTCTCTCCATATCTGCTTCAACTTCTGCCCAGATGGCAGCCTCAATCCTAAAGTCTACACGCACTTAGAGATCCTGTGCCCACCATCAACTCTCATTTTGGATTTTACTTTCAACATAGCATACATTGCCAACGTTTTAATACATTTTACTAAATATGCATATATTTTTCAAGTTTTTCTTTAAATTCCAGTTAATTAACATATAGCGTAGTATTAGTTTCAGGTATAGAATTTAGTGGTTCGACACTTCCATACAATAGCCAGTGTTCATCACAAGTGCCCTCCTTAATCCCCATCACCTATTTACCCATCCTCCACCCCACCCCTTCCCTCTGGTAACCATCAGTATGTTCTCTATAGCTATGAGTCTGTTTCTTGGTTTGCCTCTCCTTTTTCCCACTCATATGTGGAATTTTGTGGAATTTAAGAAACAAAAACAAACAAACATTGGGGGGAAAATTTATTGTGTTATGTATTTACAATGAGGAGTATACTATTTTGTGGCAATCTTGCCAAGGGACATCTCATTTGAAAACATTTTAAAATTTTTATTGTCCTTTGGAGAAGAAGGTAGAGACAAAACCTTGAAAAGGATGCCCTCCATTGACCCCATGCTCCTGAGGTCGTCTTCCCTGGTTTATCATTGTTCTCAGGTGAACATTTTGTTGCCACCCGCCCTCCCACTTCCTGCTCCAAGGGTAAAGAAGAGAAAGCCATCTTCTTCAAGGATCATCCCTGGTGTGGATACTTCCTCCCTCACTCATCTTGTGAAACCAGAATATTCCGTGCAAGAACACGATCAAGCTTACTACTCTGAAAGAAAAGTTTGGACACAGAAAGTGTAAAGATAGTTTTTCTTCTTATTAGCTATTGAGTTCTTATTATACTCCAGGCTCTACATCAGAAGCTTCTTGGACTATTTAAGTTCCTTAGTACAGCTCTATAAAGCAGGGATTTTTATTCTCAGTGTATAGATGAGGAAACTAACCCATAATTTTTAAGAAACTTGCTCAATTTCACACAGCTAAATGGGGCACCTGGATCAAAGCATGTCTGCTTGATTCTAGAGTGCCAGTTCTTTCAACAACATTAAAAATGTTGAGTAGGAAAAGCACCATTTCTGGTCCTCTTTTGACAAACTATACCACATGATAGAAAAATGAGGCTTATACTGAAAGGAGTCATCTGAATGTCACTGGATGCTTCCAAGGCTGACATTTAGATTTGCCTTAGCTGGATGCAGTCATGCTTCAAAGGCCTTTTAAATTAACCACTTATGAGGAATTGATGGGCACCTGAGAAAATGATTTGGAAACTGGGAATAGATTAAATATTAAAACAGCTTTATCAGTGAGGTAATGAACCCAAACTAAGAAAATGCAACATTAGGAAAAGGATAAAAGAAAAGAAAAGCCCATCACAAAGAAAATTGTGTGTGACTAGCCAAATGCAGGGGAGTGACAGTAGACCAATTGCAAGAAAATGCCCTTGACAACTAGAGCACACATTTCATTTCATATTCCAGTGTGAACTAAGCCTCTACAAAATCATTCATTGTGGCCAAATTTGTTTTCTAAAGATGGTCACAACAATATCTCCTACCCCACACTCTTCACTACAATACGACCCTGCCACCCTCCTACCAAGTGGTAGGGTCTATATTCCCACCCCCTTGAATCTAAGTGGGTTTCTGACCACTTTGACCAACAGAGTATATAGAATGGACATGATGTACCTTCTGAGATTGTCATAAAAGGCAATACACCCTCTGTGTCATCTGATGAAATACTTGTGTCTGGGGCCCCAAGACACCATGTTCAACTGCCCTAAGGCCACTCTGCTGAAAGGGAGGCAAACCACATAGAAAAGCCATGTGTAGATACTCTGGTCAGCAGCCAGTCTTTAAGTCCTTCCAGTCTAGGAGTCAGACATATGAGTGAACAAATCTGCAGATGATTCCAGTTCCCAGCCCTTAAGTCATCCCTGATCTCTATGTTTTTCCAACAGTGTGAGGCCTCAGATATCCTGAAAAGAGTCAGGCCATCCTCCTTGTGGTACCCTCTCCAAATTTCTGATCCACAGATCTGTGGGCATAATATGATTGATTTAAGCCTCTAAACTTTGGGTTTGTTACACAGAAAAGATAACCAGAACACTAATCTTAATTGAGGATTTAAACAGAAACCAATCACTGAGGAATCCTCATCTACTTGCAATATTCTTGGGCCTCAAAAGGCTATCAAGCCACAAATAAACTATAAGCTATCACCAAATAATAAATCCCTTGAACTATACTCCAAATAATTTTTAAAGTTAAAACAATAATAAGGTAAAAAGTAGTAGCATTTCATTTATGTTTGCATAATACAAAATTGTCACAGATTTTAAAAGGGGGAGTTAATCCTCTAGCTCTACTTTGATCTCTCATCATTTGTGATTTCTTTCCATTATTTTGTTAATGACAGAAAATTCTTTCCCTATTTTATCATGTTTATGCTGTTGCTATGGACTATATGTTTGTAGTTCCCCCAAATTCATTAGCTGAAACCCTAATTTTCAATGTGACGGTATTTGGAGATGGGGTCTTTGAGAGGTGATTAGGTCATGAGGGTGAAGCCCCCCATAAGGAACTGATGCTTTTATAAGAAGAGGCAGAGAGAGCTTGCTTCTCCTTTTCTTTGCTATTTGGGGATACAATGAGAAGATGGCCATCTACAAATCAGGAAAAGTGCCCGCACCAGGCATCAGATTTGCTAGTGCCTTGATCTTGGTCTTCCCAGTCTCCAGCATTGTGAGAAATATATGTTCTTTAAGCCATCCATTGTGTATTAATTTCTTATAGTAGCCTGAACTAAGACAACCATATTCTCCCTTTTTGCTCCAAATATGTATGAGACATTTCACATACATTATGACCAATCCTTTATGTAGGTATCGATGACTAAAATATCCTGGCATGGTAAATATTATTATGCCCATTTTATTGAAGGGAAATTAAGGCTCAGAGGGGTTAAGTGGTTTTCTGGAAACCATACAACCAACACACTGCAGAATTGCGATTTGAACCATGTCAGTCTGATTCTATAGCCCCAGTTTCCCCACTACCACTGCTTTTATAAACAGGAGCAAGATTGTGACACCAAATTATCTGGATGTGATTCCTTCAAAGTCAGAATAGTCAGATAAACTCTGCCTTTATTTATCAATTCTATAAATATTTTTTGAGTACCCATTAATGCCTGAATTTAAATAAACACAGGCTAAAAGTAAACTTGAAGTAAAATACTTGGCTAATCAAAATACCAATAAACTATTGTTTCTGCATTTGGAAATCAAAACTTTTTTTTTTTCTTTTTTTAGAGAGAGAGAGAGAGAAAGAGTGCAAGTGGGAGGGGGAGAGGGAAAGAGAAACTTATGCAGGGTATGTGCCCAGTGTGCAGAGCCCAACAGAGGGCTGGATCTCACGATTCTGAGATCATGACTGGAGCCCAAATCAAGAGTCAGATGCTTAACTGACTGAGCCACCCAGGCACCCCTCGAACAGGAGATGCTTTTATTTTTCTAACCTGACAGATGAGATTAAACTCCCCAACAATACTTCATTTGGCTTCTCTTTTACTTTTGATTGGAGTACTTTACAACTCTAAAAGGATAGATATTACTTTCTGAAAAACTGATAGTAATGCAAATTGGGTTGCATATGAGGGAGTAAGGCCCCCTTGTGGGGTCATTAAGGATCACTCTGACACATCCACCAAAATTATATTTGGAGAAATTAAAGAATTCATCACAAATCCTAGAGAGAAAAAAAAAAATCCTAGAGAGGGGAGTATGATATGCTCACAGGACCACATAAAGTCACCCAAAGCCCAAAGTTTGGTCACTGCAGGCAGGGAAAGAGCAGAGCAAGGACCCATGGTAAGTACCTGTATTAGGGTCAGGGCTATGGTAGCTTGTGCCATTTGAGAAGCCTGCTCTTTGGTAATCTGAATGTAACTGGGTCAACATGGAGAGGAAGGGGTAAAATGGGAAAGTCATCATGAGGGGATGGGTACCCAGAATGGGCAATAACTAGGTAAAAGTTCAAAACAAGCAAGGTGAGTACAGGCATTAAGGCCACAAAGAACAGCTTGACACCACACAAATGAATTTTATTCAAGTGGAAATGCAAATGAATTTTATCCGAGTAGAAATACAAATGATTTCTGTGCAGTAGTAAAGGTAAGCCCATAGTTAACAATTTTATTGTCCTGGATGATAGCAACCATTTTAGAAATCTAACCTAGCAATCCTACCCTAGCATTCTTTCAGTACCTATTTTAGAATTTACTTTACCACCCCCCTTGATTTCTCTCTTTGATGAGTTAAACAAGATTTTGGTACATGCTTGCTTCAGATTTCTGCAAGGGTTAGGTTTCTAACTTTTTGAAAATTGTTTTTTCACACA